TGGTGGCAGAGCCTCCGATTATGTCAGAGTGTTCGATATTTGGTGTTGTGGCCGGGTCCGGACTATTGTTACCGGTCTCACCTTCCCATACCACGGATGGCTTAAATAGCCTTTCAAAGAAGATATTAGGTGGGACAGGGTCGCGCTTAGCGCCGATGCGGGCGAGGATATCCGCCGCCTGATTGTTTTACCGGGCCACATGGTGGAATTCAAGCCCCTCGAACCGAGCTGACATTTTGAGGACGGCATTGCGATAAGCCGCCATTTTTGGGTCCTTGGCATTGAAGTCTCCATTTATTTGGGATATTGCGAGGTTCGAGTCCCCACGCACCTCCAGGCGTTGAATGCCCACGAAGACTGCCATCCGGAGACCATGTAACAGGGCCTCATATTTTGCTGCGTTGTTGGAGTCTGTGTATAGTATTTGGAGTATGTATTGGACTGTATCCCCAGACCAGCCAGCATTTTAGAGCCGTCAAAGTGCATAATCCAATCAGAGTACGCGCCGTACTCTTTAGGGAGTTCGGCATCTATCCATTCGGCGACGAAATCAGCCAGTACTTGTGACTTAATGGCTCATCGTGGTTTGTATATTATGTCGAACATGAGGAGCTCAATAGCCCATTTAGCAATCCGGCCCGTGGCCTCGCGGTTGTTTATTATGTCGTTGACTGGTACTTCAGAGGCCACCGTAATTGAGCACTCTTGAAAGTAGTGTCGTAGTTTCCGTGATGCCAATGAAGACCGCATATGCTATCTTTTGATAATATGGGTACCGTGATTTGCATGGAGTGAGGACAGTGGATACATAGTATACCGGCTTTTGAAGCGGGAACTTATGTCCGTCCATCTCTTGTTCGATGACGAGCACTGCGCTTACAACTTGGTGTGTTTCCGCTATATATAGCAGCATTGGTTCACCGACGTTAGGTGCAGCCAAGATTGGGTTTGTGGACAAAACGGCTTTTATTTCTTCTAATCCGGCCGTGGCCGCATCCGTCCACTCGAAGTGTTCGGTGCGTCGAAGAAGGCGATAAAGAGGCAGTGCCTTTTCTCCTAATCGGGAGATGAAGCGGCCTAAGGCAGAGCATCCAGTTAGTTTCTGGATTTGCTTGAGGTCTGTTGGGATGGCCAACTGTGACAGAGCTTGGATTTTATCCGGATTTGCTTCGATTCCACTGTTGGAGACAATGAAGCATAAGAGCTTTCTGGCAGGCACGCCGAAGACACATTTTTCCGGATTGAGCTTAATGTCGTATGTTCGAATATTATAGACCGTGAGCCTCAGGTCGTCTATTAAGGATTCGACGTGTCTGGTTTTGATGATCACATCATCTACGTATGCCTCCACTGTTTTGCCAATCTGTGTCTCCAAGCATGTCTAAATCATGCGTTGATAGGTTGCACCGGCGTTTTTGAGCCCGAAAGGCATGGTGTTAAAACAGAAGGGGCCGTATGGAGTGATAAATGCTGTTGCGTCTTGATCGGACTCCGCCATCTTAATTTGACGGTATCCGGAGTATGCGTCGAGGAAACACAATGAGTCGTGTCCTGCTGTAGCGTCGATAATTTGATCGATGCGAGGGAGGGGGAAGGGATCCTTTGGGCAAGCCTTATTAAGGTCCTTGAAGTCGACGCATAGGCGCCAGGATTTGTCCTTCTTTAGTACCATCACCAGGTTTGCTAGCCAGTCCGGATGTTTTATTTCTCGAATGAATCCGGCCTCCAGGAACTTGGCTAGCTCCTCTCCCATGGCTTGTCGCTTAGGCTCAGAGAAGCGCCGAAGAGTTTGCTTGACTGGCTTGAATCCCTTTAGGATGTTAAGGCTATGCTCGGCTAGCCTGCGTGGGATTCCTGGCATGTCTGAAGGATGCCAGGCGAAGATGTCCTAATTCGCACGCAAGAACTCCCGTAACGCAGCGTCTACTGTGGGGTTTAACTGTGCCCCGATGGATGCTGTTTTTGTAGGGTCCGTTGGATGGACTTGGAATTTGACTATTTCATCTGCTGGTTTAAAAGAGGTGGACTTGGATCTTTTGTCAAGTATCACGTCATCCCTGTCCACTGTGGAGCGCAGCGCAGTCAATTCCTCGGTCGCGAGGGCTTCGGATAACGCCTCGAGGGCCAGTGCGGCTGTTTTATTTTCGGCGTGGAGTGCTATGTCCAGATCAGTAGTTAGAGTGATGATTCCATTGGGCCTGGGCATTTTGAGCTTCATGTACCCGTAATGGGGTATAGCTTGGAAGATCGTGAATGCAGACGTTACCGAGTCGGTGCCCCACTACTCCATTAGCCATTCCCCTCTAGTTGTCGCCATGCAGACGTTACCGAGTCCCCCGAGTTGATCGTTCTTTGCGCCATATTAACCCAGAATATACAGGGCGCGGCCTATCGGCCCACTCAATCAACGCATCACAAGTGTTTGATAACGATACCATTCTACAATGATACCATTCTCGTTTTCCAGTCAGAAATATATTATTACCAACCAAAAATAGTGTACAAATTTCAAAATTTTATTGAATTTTAAAATTAGCCACAAATAAAAATGTTCATGACTTTTAAACTTGCTCGTGAATTTTCAAGAATTATCATGATTATTAAAACAATATTTAAGAATTTGAAAAGCATTCACAAATTTTAAAAATGTTCCGCAAATTCAAAAATGATTGTCACCGATTTAAGAAATATTCTAGAATTTTAAAAAATCTTGTTTACTATCATAAAATCTTTTCAAATTTTTAAAAAACAGGAAGTTTAATAGAGCTCACGAACATAATTTTTAATAAAATTACCAAAATTCTCATGAATTCTACAAAATGTTCGCACTATTGAAAAACATGTTTAAATATTTTGAAAATGTCTCATGAATTTTGTAATACTGTCACAAATTCAAAAATCTCAAAATTTAAACAAACACGTTACTTAGTAAAATTGGCACAAATATAAAAAGTATTCGGAATTTTAAAAATAATCACAAAATCCAGAAAATGTTTACCAATTTACGAAATATTTTGTGAATTTTTTAAAATGTTCACAAATTTAAACTTACTTCATAAAGTTAAAAAGTGTTCACAATTTTTTAAAGCATGAACAAAAACAAATGTTCATAATATTTAAATGTCGCTGAAGTGCACACATCTATTTGGCCATAACTACAAATAATTTTTTTACACGGCGTTGGCATATGTGATATAGGACAGATGATAATTTTTCCTAATTTTTGGTGATGCAGAAGTATCTGAACACTTCACTCTATGTGGATTTCTATTTATTTTTTTGAGCTAAATGACTCTGAAATTGAAAAACACTACAAATGAATTTTAAAAAGGTTGAAAGTTGGCATGATATCATCATTTAACCCACATAGCACGTGTTAAAAAGTTGAGAGGGTTAGGAAAAAGCTGGATGCACTTCGTGTACAAAATGGACAATCTCTTTCGAAGTATCAGGATTTCAGACGAAAACTCATCTGCTACAAAAGGCATTTCCTTTCTTGACATGTAACTGCAGTGTTACTCTAGATAAAAGTCAGTATCAGAATAGTTGTGGAGAGAAAGTCTTCACTTTTTCTTCACGTGTGCCCCTTACTTATTGCGCCGTAACCATGGATAATCTTCACCGTTTATCAGGATGCTTGGGTGAGCCTTCACTTTGAAGGGAGGAATTTCATGAAACTTTTCATAATCTTCAGACATGTCTGGCTTGCCCTCCACTCTCATGATGTCTCTTTTCCCTGAAATAAATATCTGGCTCATCGTATGATGTATTCGCTTCCTTATCTTTTCTTTTTCTCAGTTTGGTAGACATGTCCTTCACATAGAAAACCTGCGCCACATCATTGGCTAGGACGAATGGTTTGTCTGTGTATCCAAAATTATTCAGATCCACTAATGTCATTCCGTACTGCGGGTCTACCTGTACCTCGCCTCCTCACAGATTGACCGATTTGGAGCAAAACAAAAGGACCATAAAATCATGTCCATAGTCAAGTTCCCATATGTCCATTATGTAACCATAACATGTGTCATTTCCTCTCTTGGTTGCTGCATCAAAGCGGACACCACTATTTTGGTTGAAGCTCTTTTCATATTGGGCGATCATGTAAAATGTATTCTCATTTATCTCGTACCCTTGGTAAGTCAATACAGTGGAAGATGTTGTCCTGGCCAATGAGCTCCTTCATTAAATGAGTAGATCTGGATAGTGAGGTAGATAGCTCTAACTAGTGGCGAGGGCCAGTGAGCTAGCTAGTGAGACAAAGCTAGGGGTGGAGGGGGCAAGAGATATATGGAAGAAGGGAGAGAAAGTGAGGAAGGGCGTTAATAGTCATGTTGGAGGGGAAAGAAGAGAGTGGGAGGAGGGGGAGAATTGAAGGAAGAAGGAAGAAATGAAGTGGAAGAGGAAGGAGAAGGATGGGGGAAGAGGAAGAAGGAAAGGTGGTAGATATTTTGACCGGCGAGCTGAGCAACAGTGAGGGGCATGAGCCCACACTAGTGCTAGGTGCAGTAGTTGTAGCGTGGGTCTTACGAACCCCGCTGCTGCTAAATGGGGCCCACCAGTTGGCTCCGTGAAAGGGTAGTGGTAGCGCGGGTAATCGGCCCACGCTACAGCTACAAGGTTAGTTGTAGTACGGAGCTTATACCCGGTGTTGCTACTATGGCTAGACCTGGGGCATCGTGGGGCCCACTTATCAGTAGCGTGGCCTTTGATCACCCGCGCTACTACTAAACTGTACCTGTAGCGCTTTCTTATAACCCGCGCTACTACTACATAACAGTAGCATGGGTCTCTTACCCAGCCCTATATGATCTACCTATAATGTATTTCCTAGTAGTGTTGGGTTCAAAACTCGATCTCGATTGTTATGGCACCCGATCTATAATATCTCTCGGTTCTCGTATGTGATTTACAGCAAGAGGCAACAAGGAAGGGGATTGCGAAGGAGACTAGGGACAAGTGACAACCAAGTTTCATAACAGACACCTACTCCCTCTAGGCTAAGTAGCCTCTTGGTAGGTCGAAGCACTAGTCGAGACCCTTTTCCGCTTGGATTGGGTTGGGCCAACTCCCCCTTCCTTGTCGCTTCGGTGCTTCGTAGTGGTCATGACGTTCACCCCTCTTCCAATGACGGGGTCCTCTATCCCAAAAAACGCGATGGATTCCTCTGCGTCTAATGTTAGGCCCCAGCTTTGGCAGGGTTCCATAGTAACTATGGCGTTCTTTTGCCCAATCACAATCCTGCAAGCAAAAGATAATCCGCTTCACACGTTTGCTATCGTAGGCAATTGGAATAAAAATATTCAAAATTGTGGCATGATATAAACTCTATGGAGCTGGAAGTCCGGATCAAATTGTACAGATGCATGCAGGTTTATGTTTGAACAAAGGAATACTTGATTTATAATTAGTGGGACTAAGTTATACCAACAAAGCATGCGGCGACGCAACTCAATCTCATGTAGCCCGAGTTAGTGGAAATGAAATAAGACTAACACAGACATGTACCTTGGTGAACCACTCAAACAAGTGAGACCGACAACGGGTCCACCGCCGCCCAAATTAATTGTTCCCTTGAGCCTGTTGAACATGGAGCAATTTCTTCAAATTTCGTAAGATGACAACTAAAACTACATATATGCAACATAGGCACGTCCGTTTTACACTTTTAATATCAAAATCGATGACAGCATTAGTTGACGTTTATGTACAACATGGGACGGGGTTCTAGTTTGGAAGGGTATTTATAATGTCATGATTACCTGAAATTAGTGGAGCTCCACACCTGAACAATGCCATGTGCTGTTCCTGTAATTAGAACTGGAAGGTTTGGGTGGACAAGGACGCAAAGAACTGGAGACGTAGCTTCCAGTGTATGAATGCACTCCCTTTTCTGCAAGTCCCAGATCTGATTTCAAAGAAACATAGTGTATGGACTTTAGCATCCCGGCCTCTCCAACTACCATTAACGTAATGCACCTACTGTATTCATTAGCTAGTATGGTGTTTGATGGCAATGGCACATACACATACCTTGGCAGTGCAATCCTCAGAGCCAGTGATCAAACTCTGTTCATCTCCATGTGTGATAAAATCAAGGCAGTTTACAACATCCATATGCCCAAGCAAAGAATATTCAGAGACGGGAGAATCAAGCCTCCAAACCTGAACAACAATATACTCAGCAGAGGATTTAAGGTCTAGTACTGGTAGAATTTACCTTCATAACGTCAAAGTTTAGACCGCAAAAAGAAGAAATCTGGCCAGACAAACCTTTACATCGCCATCCAGAGAACCACTTGCAAAACTGTTGGCTTCCCTTGGGTTAAATTTGACCGTCGTTAAGTCATCCAAAAATGTTTCTGTGCACTTCCAGCTCAAGTCCCAGTCTAAAAGAACAGTGTCCAGTGACAAGACATATGGTAGGGTTGGATGAACTGCTAGTATGGGAGTTATCATGATACCACCAGGTTCAACACTCCTGATCTTTTCTATTTTCGTTACACATGCACAGTCGTACACATGGAGGTCACCAAGAAGTGTCACAGCAACAATCCATTTCCTTCTTGCAATAAATTTGACGCAGATGACTGCAACGGGAGAGGAAATTACTCCATCACCCATATATCGATCAAAATGTATATATGATACAATTTTAATTGTTACTCCCCCATACGCAATTCAGAAATAGTACCTGCATAATCTGAGACTTTAAACGAATTCATCGGGTACTGCATGCCATAGAAAATGACTTCATTAGTTGAATGGTAAATGCCAAGGTGTACACTGTGACTTCCCAACATATATACATTTTGATCGGTCGTTTGTTGCGATGACCATTTATATTTAGTAGCATTATATTTTTCAAAAGATTAATATATTCAGGGAATTCAATAGCTTGCCTTCATCTCATGGTTCCATGCATGAGCATACCCAGTACAATGACCTGTTAAAATCCTGTGTGACAACATAAATTAATTGTAGGATCTAATGACATCCAACACGTCACTTGAACGACCGAATGGAAATATGCACGTTCCCCATATTATGGTAGCTACCAATATATGCACTCACCATGGCTCTGTTGGATGTGCATCCAGGGAACACACATTATCAGGATTATACTTCACCAATATGTCCTGATCCAGCAAAACACTAGTCAACATCAGGAACAATAGCTAAAATTTTGTTGGATGACACATATACGCAAGTCGACCACATATGGCGGGCCCATTGTTGGTCGAATTGCCAGTAGGAAAGCAAAAGCAATCAAGAGAACTCAAGAGGAATAGAAGTGCATCTCAAGTTAGCGTAGAGTAAAATGTTTCTGCGAAATGGAGTAAATTGGGCGCCACCAGTGTAGTGCTGACAAGAGACCTAGGTTGGGTACCCCACTCGTGGGTTGCCCATATCCAGCTGTGAACAGAAAGATTACTAGCACTAACGTTCAATCAGGGCCCCCTTTAGTGATCCGACACTGACTATCAATGTAGCACCTCCCACCCACACACGCCCCCTTTAGTGATCAGAAGGTGATTCTTGGACAACTTTGAGTAATACACATACCTACAACAAAGCTATTTGCCGATGTGCTAAAGGGGATAAACAACGTCCATACGATGTACAAAACTACGCCGGGGTGTTGGGCAACATTGTGTTGCATGCACTTCACCTAGACTGAGCCATTAGCTGTAGATGAGTCTACTGCGGAGGCCGGTATGCGTGCAATTCCTATTCACACACACACACACACACACACACACACACACACACACACACACACACACACACACACACACACATGATAGATGCAACACTTAACTCTCCAACTCTCTTATGTGAACATTACTTAAGGTTGTGTGCATCTTAACTATGAAGCGGCGGGGTGCCGCTCATTATACTTTGTATCCATTTGATGCTACATTCTGAGTTAATAAAAGCGCCCTTTATGGAAAAATGTATTGTGTAGATGAGACAACTCACCTCAGATGCAACTTCTACATCCTTCTCATAAACAGCTTTCAGTGCCACCTCATGCATCATATTAACAAACTCCTTAGCTTCCTCGAAAAATTGATCAGATTCGGATTGGTCTTTGAATAAGCTGATGTGCTTGTCTCTTAATATATTGCTCTGAATAACGAGATCAAAGTCTGTTGCTTCCTTTTGCTTCATCTCCTCTTTCATTGTGACAATCAAAGTGCAAGTGGATCTACAAGACACAATGCCATATAACGGCAGCTTTGTGAAGCACCATGGGGACGTACCGCTCTTGTCGACGAGTCTAAATCCCACATTTTCGTCTGTGTTGTTTGTTAGGTGAAGTGAGCACGGGATGGGCTCATTGGGACAGTAAGGGAAACGGAGTTCCGGCGGGTGGACATCAAGTATATGTAATTTGCTAATTGACCCTGTGATGTCCTGCTAAATAGATGAATGATTGGATAGCCAAGTAAGAGTGCGCACAATTGGTGTGAGCTTATTAATACCTACCTATTAAATCAATTTGAATTTAGAAACAAAATTGAGTTGAAAAATCAATATGATAGATCGATGGACATTGTGGAAATAACGTAAAACTAGACAAGTCAACCATGTGCATAAAAGCTCTCAACTTTCCAGAGATTGGAACGTACAAAACATAGCATTTAATTAATTAACTCACTTCTTCTAAACAAAGATTATTGAACTCACCTTAGACATTGTGTCTCCAGCTTGTTGCCTCCTATCTGTACTTAGCTGCTGCTCACCATAATCCGTTGATCGCTCCTGATAATTCATATTGTCGATATCCATAATTGATACTGCGTTTTGTTTTCCAATCACAATCCTAATATATGATAGATATATAATCATATAAGTCTGGCATAAAAAATAGGAATCTCGAAGAAAATAATAAAAATATATACAGTAGGGAGAAATCTGAACTCTTTAAATAAGCACTTGTGCAGTAAATAAAAAACATGAAATATATACCTTCCCATCACACATGCGAGATGGTAGACAGCTCCAACACAGCCAGTCTTGATAATTCTTTTAAGCATTGGGGGGCATGAATGTATCCTATGGATTTTTTTTAATCAGCAAGTAGAATTGAAATCCAGGCATGATCGAGTACATTTAGTGCACCATCAATAGCTGACCAACTAAGGGTGTGCGTGTGGACACCAGTTATAGTTTCTACATTTTGAATTACCTGCAATTTACGGTGGTCCACAAATAAACAGCACCATCTTTTGAACCTGTAATTAGAGTCTCCAGATTGGGTTGGTATATGACAGACGTGACAGGAGATACAAAAACTTCAAGTGTATATGCACATATCCGGTTCTGCAAATACCATATCTAATTTGGGGAAAAAAATCAAAGCATGCATTAAAAGATGTAACTGTATTAGCATGTATTTCCATGAGATCAATGGCGGCAGACCTTGACAGTCTTATCATTTGACCCTGTAACCAAAAACTCTTGATCGTGACAAGTGAAGAAAACCAAGCAGTTCACTCTGCCCCAATGCCCAAACAAATCATAGTTTGATCTGGGAGAATCAAGACTCCAAACCTGCAAAACAATAATATATACGTCTGAGTGTGGTTTTTCAGTGATCGAGCTCCATGGTACCCCCGTGAACAGTAAAATCGAAAAATTCTGAAACTTTGTGGCACTGATTATGACCAAATGTTCTACGTGCTTGCAATTTATTGTGGCGAACATTCTAGGTGCTCATATAGAAAATAAGAAAATTGGTGCTCAAACTTGTGTGCACTGTTGAGCAGAACTTGTTTTTTTTGTGTTCAGCTCGTCGGATGTCATATGGGTCAAATTTTGCAAGCACGTAAGACATATGATCATAAACTATGCTTCAAAATTTCAGAATATTTTTATATTTCTTACTATTTGTTTTATTTTACTGTTCATGGGGTACCATGGAGCTTGAGCTAGATTACAACTTTCTGTATATAGGTCATAATGGAAGAAAATTAAAGGTACTCCCTCCATTCCCTTATACAAGGCCACAAACTCAAATTACAGGTAGCTAGGTAAAATTTAATGACTATTTTGCAAGCCAACTTTTTTTCTTGTTAACTGGGATCATTAATACGCCCGCATGCATGTAAGGAAGGAATGAGAAGGAAGTAGCACAGTGTCATTATGACTACATGCATGCAAGCATTAAATAAGTTGCTAGTACGAGAAAACATCATTAAATTTTGCCTCGGATACTGTTAGTGGCCTTGTATAGATGCAAAATGTATTTTTCATAGTGGCCTTGTATAAGGGAATGGAGGGAGTATATAAGCAACACTTGTCTTGATCATGGTGTGTGTGTGTGTGTGTGTGTGTGTGTGTGAGTGAGAGAGAGAGAGAGAGAGAGAGAGAGAGAGAGAGAGAGAGAGAGAGAGAGACCGCATACCTTCACATGGTAATGATATGAACCAGTAGCAAAGGTGTCATTTGGGTTAAATGCAATAGGAAATTCTGTCGCACTCTGTTCAAATGTCTGTACGCACTCCCAACCCTTATCCCAGTCCCAAAGTTTCATCTGTGTACCCGCAGACAGCAAATACGGCTTGGTTGGATGAACGGCCAGTGACCAGAGTTTCGCAGATCTACCACCAACTTTGAAACTTGCGATCTTGTGCATTTTGTCATAGTCGTAGACATAAATGATACCATGATTTGTCCCAGCAACGATCCATTGTTTTCTTGCAATAAATTTAGCGCACTTAATTGCTGCAGTGGGGCGGGAGATTAGTTTATTAGCATGTCAGCTTTCATGATGGAAGTACTAACAGAGGTCAGAAATCATGCCATATTTCGCTGAGACTCTAATTGAATCCCCTTTTCTCTGCGGTATGAAGAAATTATCACCATGTTAGTCAATGGAGACTTGGAGACTAAAGCATGCATACCCATGCGGAGAGTCTTTATAAAAATAGGAGTGCTACATGCCTGTTTCTGATAGTCCCAAATGCGAACATGTCCACCATTATCTCCGATTATTATCCTGCCACAAAAAAATAATGGTTTAGTAAATTGTGAAGCATATATGTGCAACATCCCATATGCTCACACGTAAAAGAAAATCTCATTCATGTACTCAGTAAAGAGGTCACATGCCGAATGAAACTATGAACTGGTCGGGGGGGATTCCTTAGCTAAATAATACTTGAGACCGTTGTTTTGTTGCATTTGGAAATATCAATCAAAAATTTCATCGGATATCTTGCCATGAATCTAGAGGTGAGGTGCCACATGAATATTCAACGAGTAAATTGATCAAGAAGAAACACTTCGTCTTGACTTCTGTGTGTTAACGCGTACTATTTTTCTATGTATAAAGAATGCACTCACCAATGCTTGGTCTGGTTGGTGTCTAAGGAACAGACATGACTGTCATTTGGATTTTTCTTGCATAAGATTATCTGATTCAACAAAGCTATGGTTAGCGTCTGGCCAGGGATCACCTCAAAGATTAACTACTCGGACATTGGAAACCAGAAATGCAAGATAGAATTCGTACCTTGGTTGTGGGTGAGATTGTCTGCGAAATACATGACCATGAATGCACACGTGTAAATAGTACAGAACCACCACCACAAAACACATGTGAAGAAAAATCAGAATGTGAAGTAACATTTACACTAGATCAACCTTTCAATTTAAGCAAGCCCAACATGTATATATCTATCTTCCATTAGATAGATTACTAAAGGACTAGAGAAAGAATGGAAATTATTAATTGAGCCAAAAATAATGGCAGTGATTTATTATCCTCATTTATTGTTTTGTCCACCTAATCATTTAATGGAAATATTGAAGTCCAACAATGTTCCCTCAAGAGGTAATTTTGCAACATATTTTTGAGTATCTTGAAAGGCATATCATTGATAATGTGACAATCAAATGTGCTAGCCAACAATTTTCATGGGGGGATAAGTGAAGACGATACAAGGCCAGATACTTTTTTGCATGGTATATTAGTTTTTAAGTTGTAATATTTTCAGTGTATAAAGGATGACTTTAATATCTCAATGTTAACATAAGATTACACAAGAACATACATACAACAACTAACCATGCAAATGGGTGGGTCATCTGGCTAGTTCACCATATTTATACTTATAAGTAATATATTACCTTAGACGACAGAGTTGTAATGTGTGGTGGCTGACTATAAAGTGCTTTCAGTTTCACCTCCTGCACTGCAACCCCCATATCTTGAAAAAACTTGTCTGGTTGGCTTTGGAAAGTGTTAATATGCTCATCATCCCCCAATATTAATGTAGCAGCGTGGAGGATAACATCTATGATATACTTTCGTGGTTGATCTTCTTTCTCTTGTGTTGTCACTATGAGAGTGTAGGGGGTGTTCGGCGGCACAAGGCCATATAATGGTAGCCCTAAGAAGGAGGACCCCATGCTCTTGTCCATAAGTCTAAAGGCGACATGGTTATCGGTGTTGTTTGTAAGCTCCAGTGGGCACGTGATAACCTTGTTGGGCTCAAAGGGGAAGCAAAGCACAAACTGATGAAGGAGAAGAAGATCGTTTGTCCCACCTGCTGGGATTACATGTGCACTACATTCTAGTTCAGCAAGCCTTATGATTATATGCTTCATACTAGCTGGTCTCTTTGCTGGGTCCGCTTCCGTGCACTCTATCCCAATCTCTGCACATACTCGTATTTGTTCCCACTGCAATGTATCCAACATCTCATTACTCCAAATCTCAAGTACCTAGGAAATTGCAACCACGATTACTTTAAGAAATGAATATGTAACATAACTATTTTAAAATTTGACTTGAAATAGTGACATACACAGACGTGCTTACATTCTCAACAGTTTGATACCCCTTCTTTCCAGTCAACAGCTCTATAATTATAACACCAAGACTATATAAGTCAAACTTGTGTGTGATTTCACCTCTGTAGAATTCAGGTGCCAAATATCCCCTAAAATACATTTAGTCTCATCGTCAATTTTGTAATATGCAGAACAAGTGCAATATAAATAAATTATATCTGAAATTGTCAAAGATTTAGAGTTCAACAACTTTAGTTGGCTTACAGTGTTCCACACACATTATTTGTAACGGCCCGGGTCTGGTTCTCCTCAAAACACCTTGATAATCCAAAATCAGTAATTTTCGGCATCATATCTTCATCCAATAATATATTTCCGGGTTTGAGATCTAAGTGCAGAATTCGTTTTTGGTGAAGATAATTTAACCCTTCGCATATCCCTTTTATTACTTGGTAGCACTTTCTCCATTCAAGTTTTCCAGATGAATCTACAAAAGGGATTTGAGAAATGGTAATGAATTTAGTATATATCTGAGACACTTTACTTCCTTTGTTTTGGAACTTAATATAATATATCACAGGATAAATTATTTCTGTTGTATGCTTGAGTAGCTCAAATCCACCAAGTAATATCCAGTGAAGAAAACTAGAATGGAAACATGAATGTACCTGTAATATATGCATCAAGACTCCCTTTAGGTAGATACTCAAAGCAAAGCAATCTTTGTTGTACATCTGCCATAACCATTTTCCCGTTGTAGTTTTCCATATTCCCTTGTGTGTCAGAACAGTATCCCAAAAAATGTACGATGTTCTTGTGCTTTACCTTTATCAGACATTCGACCTCTCGCTGGAATTCCCTCTCATACATATACGTGTTGGATAACCTCTTTATGGCAACAACCTCATTCTCAAGCATTGCCTGCAGTAGTGAGATCGTGCAAGGATATTATTAAGTTTACTTTCATATAAAGTTTGATAAAATCAGGGTTAGAGTGTGGGCATCGTAAGAGTTTTTAGTAGTACCTTATAAACCACTGCAAAGCCACCTCTTCCAATTTCCAACTTATCAGAAAAATTATGTGTGATTTTCTCCAAAAGTGAGAACGGCAGGGCCATGGCCTCTGCATTTTCATCAAGTAGCATGCACTCCAGCTCAATTTCTGTTATACCACCTCGGCGATCCATAGGGCACACGGCCAGTAGCAACTCAGTTACCCTAGCTTGAAACAAGGGAGAACTAGTTTTGTGAGGCCACTAACTACATCAAACTAACTTCCCAATTGCTCAAGTAATTAAGTAGTAATAATGAAATACATATTTAGAGCAGCACATCATCTGTTGTGTATATACACAAACTGAGAATGGGAAACAACATTTCCCATATATCTAGACAAACTGAGAGAAGAAATATGTGTCGGGGGCGGGAGGAGTTCTCTGCGGTGTTCTACCAGAGGGTTTGGAAGGTTATCAAAGGGTTTTGATGCCAATATTCGCTGACTTGTACAATGGGAGGTTGACATTGTTTAAGCTGAATTATGGTTGTATTTGTTTTGTGAAAATGCTACATCCACGGGCTCTTCACATGTAAACTTCCTATCTAAC